GAAGGAGCTGAAGCAGGCGCTGGTTAACTCCAACTGGTCGACGTTCAACGATGAGACCTGCCTGCTGATGATAAGTGAGTCTGGGCTCTCCCTGCCCTCCCCCTGCCTTTAATTCCCATCTCTTTGAGGCGAGCTTCTGGTGGGGTGAAGCCCAGCCCAGCCTGTGTTCCGCTGAGCTTCGCTTACCTGAGCAGCTGGCCCGTAAGCGCTCTCTGGAGTGAGAGCTGGGCAAACCGAGCAGCTCCAAGCGCCCTTTTGGCGGAGGACACGAGTCAGGGGCCCAAAACACTGCTTGGGAAAGGGAACTCAGCTCTGCCCGAGGCCAAGCGAGCCCCTGCTCCCACAGAGCCGGGGAGAAAAGGGAGGGAGAGCTCCAGTCCAAGCCAGAGTCGCCCCGTTCCCCTGCTTGCCCCAGCATTGGGGTTTGGTGCCATTTTCCACCAGCCTCTTAGGGACTGAATGGTCCTGGTTGATCACAGTCCTGGTGAGGGAGGCTTTTGGGGCCAGAGCGGGGTGCCAGGGAGCCGTGGCACAGATCCTGAGCTCTCTGGGAGTTTCTGCGGCGTGTCCTTGCTCCACCCCTCGCTGCCCTGCTCCTGCTCTTTGCTTCTTTCTTCCCAGACATGTTCGATAAGACCAGGTCGGGACGCATAGACGTGTACGGCTTCTCAGCCTTGCTGCGCTTCATCCAACAGTGGAAGAACCTCTTCCAGCAGTACGACAGGGACCAGTCGGGCTCCATCAACTTCAGTGAGCTCCAGCAAGGTGGGCGAGGGGTGGAGACCCCAAGCTGGCCCTTACCAAGCTCCCAGGGACTGCTGTTTGGCTCTGCTTGCTGTTTATTTCCAGCCCGGCCCAGTGACTCCTCCCAGTGCCATCCCTGCAGCAGGGCTGGGTGTCTCTGAGCACCTGGGGTGCCTCCCATGCCGCCGTGGCTGCGGTCCACGCCTGTCGCTGGGCTGGGGCACGCCGGGCTGGCTAAGCCGGCCGTGGCAGAGCTGGCGCTGAGCCTTTCTGTGGGGCAGGAGACGAGGAGCTGCGGCAGGGGTGTGGCGTGGGCTTCCTTCCTTAAGGAAACGCAAAATGCTGCCCCCCCCCGCAAATGGTATGTGGCTAAAGCCTGTTTTCTGGGAAGAACTCTTGGGTGTTTGTGTCTGAGAGAGAGGAAAAATGTCTGGAATTCGTGCCTTGGTTTGGTTCCTCCCTCCGGAGAGCCCTGCCTGCGCACACCCGCCGTCAGAAGTGAACACCACCACGGGGCGGTGGGAGCTGGGGTGTGTGCCAGCACAGGGCAGGGAGGCTGGAGTCACTCTCCCTCTCCTCGGGAAGGTTTAATCCGAGTGTTTCTTGCTCCCAGCTTTCTCCCAGATGGGCTATAACCTGAGCCCCCAGTTTAGCCAGCTGCTGCTGGCCCGCTATGGCCAGCGATCCTCCAACCCCAGCATCCAGCTCGACCGCTTCATTCAGATCTGCATGCAGCTCCAGAGCACGACCGACGCCTTCCGTGAGAAGGACACGGGGCTGGTGGGCAACGTGCAGCTGAGCTACGAGGACTTCCTCACGATGGTCGTGACTCGCATGATGTGACGCCCTCGGCTGACCGGGAGTTCTGCGGGGCTCTCCGGGAGACGCGGCCGTCCCCGGCCTCGCGCTGGGATGTGGCCAAGCCTTCTCCTGAAGAGCCAGCTATTGCCCCGGGACGGTTTTCCAGCCTGCTCCACCTGAGGAGCCCTGAGACCTGCTGAGGCCTTCCCGGCTTCAATTCCTTGTCCCCACTCAACGGCAGTGGGTGCCTCCACGCCAAACTGGAGCCTGGTTCTGGGGCCGTGCCGCGGGGTGGGACAGCCAAACCAGTAGCGAGCCTGTGCCACGCCTCCCGGGGAGCACTTAGATCTTCCCTCGCCAAACACAAAATCACGCTTAAACCCCATCTGTGCTGTCCCTCTGCTTGGCGGGATGCCTGCGGTGGAATGTCCCCGTCTCAGCACGCTTTTGGGGACTCTCCGGTGAGCAGGAGCCGAGCCTTCCTTTGAAAAGCGGCGAGAAGGGCATCAGCGACAGCAGCGCTTGTGGCTGGCTGCGCTCGTCCTTCCTTGTCTCCCAGATGCCTCTTCCTCGCCGGGAGCACGTCCAGCCCCTCGGCTGTGCTGGGAATGCTCCAGCTTTCCTGGGGGTCTGAGCCCTGTTTCTCCCCGGGCTGCTGGAACGGGCCGCGTTGCTGCATTCACACGCAGGATCATCCCCCCCCTTGTTGCCAATGTGTGCTTTGATTCGTCTCTCTCTGCCAAAGCCAAGCTCGGAAGCGGTTTAGAGCTTATTTTTACAGCTTTTGAATAAAAGGCAATGTGTGCTGGTCGCTGGGTGCTTTGTGGTTGCGGAGCAGCTCACGGGGATGCTGCCGTGCCCCGTGTCACCCTCCCGCGGGGCCACGCAGGATCATCCCCCCCCTTGTTGCCAATGTGTGCTTTGATTCGTCTCTCTCTGCCAAAGCCAAGCTCGGAAGCGGTTTAGAGCTTATTTTTACAGCTTTTGAATAAAAGGCAATGTGTGCTGGTCGCTGGGTGCTTTGTGGTTGCGGAGCAGCTCACGGGGATGCTGCCGTGCCCCGTGTCCCCCCTCCCGCGGGCCGGCAGCAGCTCGGGGTGCAGGGAGGGGACGTGTCCCAGGGCTCGGTACGCTTGCCTGAAATTAGTTCTGGTGCACATTTCACGTCAACTTACAGAACTTAAGGTGCCGGGGTCTCCTGCTGAGATACGGGCCAAGATTTGACCAACACAAAGGTTTTCTTTCCTGTGGTTTTAAAGTGATGACCAGGTGCTTATCCTTTAATTGGCCTTGATGAGAAATCAGAGATGCTTTTTGAGAGACACGTTGCTATTATGTGTTTGAAGGAATTTTTAGAAAAGAAAATATTTAAGACGCCAAGTAACTTATCTGATGCTTTTAGAAGCAATAACCAGATGTTGGTGTTTTCCTCAGCTTCAGCCAAAGGCAGGACTTTTTGTTCTAGAGGATCACTAATCATTCCAGCAGTGTTTCTCATCCGTCGAGCCACAGCTGCCCAGCCTTTCAGCGGGATTTAAAGCAGAGGTGGCGGGGGCCGTCCCCACCCCGCTGTCACCCACTCTGTCTGTCACTGCCTGCATGGGCTGTCAGCCCTCCTGGCCAGGCTGCTGTGTGGCAGCAGGGATGACGGTGCGTGCGTGAGAGTGTGTGTGTGTGTATATATATATATA